CTGGGGTTCTTTCTTTAAAAGTCAAGCTATTACTCCTCTCTGTATTTACTGTCTAGCTCCTCTGCTCACCTTTAATAAAAATCAGATTTCCTTTGAACAAATACCTAACGTTTGCACTGCTTTAATTACTGCAGTAGGCATAGACTCCTAAGTGCTAAGAAACGTAATAAAACAAAGAGACTGGCAAGAAATTGTTAACGAGTATCTTGGTTTTCTGATGCTGCTCTAACAGAAATGCCAAAAGTGGATGGCTTTAACAAACAGGGATTTATTCTCTTAGTTTAGGAGGCTAGAAGTCCAAGTTCAAAGTGCCGGCTCTATGGGCTGGGTGAAGGCCCCCTCACTTTGGGTTTCAGCTCTGCCTCTTGCTCCCAGCCCATTGGAGCTGGAGGTGTCTCCTAACTCAGACAAGCTGCTAGCTGCTGAGGATGACAAACCCAAGGTGATCAAGTAAAATGGCACAGTCCCAAAATCAGCAGGCAATACAGACAGCCACGGGTGACTCAACCAAATGCAGGCTCCAGACATACCAAAACGCTGGAGACCGATCCCAAAGCTCTTCCATATACACTAGAATCAGGCCACACGCCAAGGCAGCTCTTATTCTGCTGATTAACGTCTCACAGCAGATTCCACCATGGAGGTGATTACAATCTCATCCTGGGGAATAACTTGCACCCAGCTGCACAGCCACTCGATACCACAGGGCCACCAAGCGGACACACCACCTTAACTACCACAGCTAGTAAGACACTCAGGGTTAAAACTGAGAAAGGCGGTTGTAGGGTAAAGCCCCTCATTTCACCCTAAATAAGGTGACCTTTGTGCTTCGTTCCTGAGAAAACGCCCTTGGAGTAACTGAGGTGGCTTGGTCTGGGACTTCCAGTCCACAATCGAGGATTTGTGCTGACCAGTTGGCCTGGCCAGACCAGAAGAGATGGGCGAGTCGTTATCAAGGCAGATGCTGTCACTATTTTACAATAACGGAAATGGTAGCTCAGAGAGATCAAATAATTTGCACAAGGACACACAGTTTAAGTGAAGAATCCATCTCCAGCCTCTCTCATTCTGAAGCGCAGGCCATTGCCAGCTGCTCAGCTGCTTGGCTGTGACACAAAGGAGTATGCTAACGACAATACACGTTTACAGACTGATTAACCTACCACCCGTCTGTCAATCTGTCATACTGTGGGGGCCTGTGTACTGCTGTGAGGCTGGAAGCTCAGCCACCGCATTTCAAACACCAAACAGGGTCACCATGGTGGGCAGGTTTCCACAGAGCTTCCAAAGACAGACTGGGAAGAAAGGCCTGCGGATCTAATTCCAAAAATTAGCCACTGGAAACCATACGGATCACATACGGATCACAACACAACACTGTCCAACACATGCTGGAAGGTGACCCCCCAGGGTGGAAGTCACTCAAAATCCACACTGGCTGTAAAAATGGGCTCAAGCCTGCCAACGACAGTGAAGGTGGCACGGGACCAGGCAACGTTTCAACCCGTTGTACCCAGGGTTGCCGTGGGTCAGAGCCAATGGCAACAAGGAGAAAAACTAGTCAACATCCACTACATCACCATTCAGGAGCTCTGGTGGCACAATGGTTAAAGCATTCAGCTGCTAACCAAAAGACTGGCAGCTCAAACTCACCAGCTGCTCTGTGGCAGAAAGATGAGGCAGTCTGCTTCAGGAAAGATTGACAGCTTCGGAATCTCTATGGGGCAGTTCTAGTCTGTCCTACAGGGTCGCTATTGACTCAATGAATGGTGACTACACCACCATTCATTTCCCAGATGGATCACAGATAAACAAACCACATAGGCAGGAAAACTCTAAACTCACTGCCGTCAAGTCAGGTCCAACTCACAGCAACCCCTCCTTGGGTTTCCGAGGCAGTATCACTACAGAAGTAGATTGCCCAACCTTTCTGCTGAGGAGTGGCTGGTGAGTTTGAACCGCCAGTGCCTTCTGGTGAACAGTCAAATGCCTTAGTCACTACAACACCAGAGCTCCTACATAGGCAGGAGGTACCTGATTACAATATTCTTTACACCAGAAACATAAGGATAAACACAGATGAGATGATCAGGACCCTGTCCCCTAAAAAGATTAAAGCCTAAAAGGAAGCAAAATCCATACAACAGAAGAGAACATTGGTGTTTAAGGTTTTACCACTCCCCCCACCCCACCCCGCCAGCCAGGGCCTGGTGAGCATTCCCACCTCCTAGACCAGCAGGTACAGGCTTACCAGGGGTCCCATCCAAGGCAGCCTTGGCTCCAGCCAAGGTCAGCAGGCCTCCCTCCTTGAGGTGTTTGGTGGCCAGGTGGCTGGAGATGGTCGATGTCCACAAGCTCTGCTTCCACATCAGGTCACAGTTCTTAAAGAGAGCTGGGCGAGAAAACACCATCTTAGCTCACTGCTCTCCATGAAAGACCAGAAGGTGAGCCCAACCCACCAGCCCCACAGCCCCACACCCTAGAAAAGACTCAACCCAACCCACCAGCCCTACACCCTAGAAAGGACTCAACCCGACCCACCAGCCCCACACCCTAGAAAGGACTCAACCCGACCCACCAGCCCCACTCTCTAGGAAGGACTCAGTCCCCTGGGCCCTATCTACCACAAGATCCAGCACAAACAAACCGACACACAGGTTCGAATCCAGACCAGGTGACCACCTGAGCCTCAGCTTCCTCATTGGTCAACTGGTAAAATCTTACCCAATGAAAGAGGACTATTAAACAGCCTTGTGAGGCTGGCCGAATAGCCAGTTCTCAGTCAGTCATTCATTGAATCATTCAATAGTAATTACTGGCCTGCGCCCATGCAGGGCCCTGTGCCAGGGCATAAGAACCCAGCAGTGAGTGAGAACAAGCCTTGTCCTAGCCTGTTGGAGCAGACAGTCTAGCAGGAAAGATTAACCCCCAAATGAAGTAACTGCAGAAATGTTGATGAGCGCCATGGGAGCACCCCAGGGGGTAATGAGAAGTCCCTGGGTGCAAAGAGCTCTGGTGCTGCGGTACCTAAGGCATTTGACTGCTAACCAGAAGGTTGGCAGTTCAAACCCACCAGCTGCTCCACAGAAGGAAGATGAGGCAATCTACTTCAGTAAAGATGTTCCACCTTGGAAACCAAATGGGGGTCACTATGAGTTGGATTCAACTCAACAACAGTGGGTTTGGTTTTATTGGGGGGGGGGCAGTGATGCAAGTGGTTAACATGCTCAGCTGCTAATCAAAGAATTAGAGGCTTGAGTCCACCCAGGGGCACACTAGAAGAAAGGGCTGGCAAACTCCTTCTGAAAAATCAGCTGCTGAAAACCTCATGGAGCAGTTCTCTAACACACATGGGGCTGCCACGAGTCAGAGTGGGCTCCATGACAGCTGGTCAGGTGGGGGAGGGGGGGTGGTGCTGAAGCCCTGCATCACAGAGCCATCGTAGGTTCCAGCAGATACAAAGGCAAACAGCCGGTGTGAGCCAGGCAAACAGCAGAGCAGGATGAATGATTAACTCAGAAAAGACTCACACTTGGACTTGGCATTGCCCCCGGCCCATCCTCCAGCCACACAAAGGATCGCGTCCACCTTCTCTTCACCCAAGAGCTTTCCAACATCAGCAGTCACCTCAAAAAAAGAGGGCAAACAAACAAAAGACAGGCATATGAGTTGAACACTTACCTCAAGTAGATACGCTTCTTGGAGAGAACAATCATGGGAGAAAGAAAGGCTGCTTATGCACAGGGAGACAGCTCAGGGGGCAGAAGTGCATGGAGGGATGGACACAGGGAAGAGGTAACTTTCGGGAGGAAGTGGGAGGGCAGCTGTTGCATTGGAGTAAATTGTAGTCAATGTCATGAGACAACGTGTATGTGAACTGCTGTATGGAAAGTGAATTTGCTCTGTAAATTTTCACCCAGATCACAATTAAAAAAAAAAAAAAAAAGGAAAAGGGTGACACAGACTAAGATAAATCTAACAAGCTAGGGTCTGCACAGCTGCCTCAGCTTATTTTCCTCTTCTTAAGTCACTTTCTGCAGTACTTTGCAATTAAGATTCTAAAAATTAGCTGTAGCACCGATCTATGGTGAGCATTTTGGGGAGCTAAGCCCAGCCACATCTCAAATGTGGTTTTTGTAAAGCACATAAACATTCTTATGAATGTTCTAAAGGGTGGGCATCATAAGCCCTTCTGAAATAAAACAATAAAGAACAGTGTTGTTGTTATGTGCCGTCAAGTCAGACCCGACTCATAGCAGCCCTTCCTTGGGTTTCCAAGGCGGTATCACTACGGAAGTAGATTGATTGCCCAACCTTCCTTCCGGGGAGCGGCTGGTGGGTTTGAACCACCAGCCTTCTGGTTAGCAGTCAGGTACCTTCGGCACTATGCTACCAGAGCTCCCTTAAAGAACAGTAGAAGAGGGGTTTTCAAATCACCCAACACTTTACTGCCCACAGCTGACTTTCTTGTTTATTTCTTTCTCAGGGTTTCTTTGCAAATCATGACCAAGCCTGCTTGCCCTTCCCAATTTGGAAAAAAAAAAAAAAAAAACTTAAACGTCACTGAGTGGCCCATCTAGAAAGTGTTCACAAAGAGGCTTGTTTGTTTTTTCAAGCGATCTGGAGAAGTATTTAAATTATAATGTTATGTTTCAAAAGAAAAGTGACCATAAAGTATAAACTACAAAACTATCTCAAACTGTAAAATTACTAAACACAGAGTCCGCGTAGAAGAAAAAAGGATGAGGAAATAGGCCAGCATGCTCACAGTGGGCTAACAAGAAATGGCTCATGGGTAATTCACGACCTTTGCATTCTTTTTTTCACTTTTTCCAAAGTTTGTGCTTTAAGCATATGTGGCTTTCATAATTGCAGAAACAATACTTTTGAAAAGGATGGACCCAGAGCCAGCAGGAAGCCCTCTCTGGTCCCCCTACCACAACGCGTGGTAGGGCCTCTTTGGAATTACCTGGTCAGCCTGCTCCGTAAACGAGTCCGTCATCTTAACGACGACACTGGCGCTGGCCTCTTCGTTCTCCACCACATCGATGCTGGCGACCCACTGGGAGAAAGGAGACGCAGATTCGGTGAAGAGACAACGAGTTTGTTACTGCTCCAAAGATTCATGTCCCGGAAAGGGACGACAGGGCAGTGCCAAAACAAACCCGCACGGGTCAGGATGGGACTGCACGCCACAGGGTTTTCCGCGGCTGATGTTTCAGAAGCAGTTCACCAGGCCTTTCTTCTGGGTGCCTCTGGGTGGGCTCCCACCACCAATGTTCCCATCAGCAGCCGAGCGAATCAGCTATTCGCAACCCCAGGGCCTCCACATGTGATTTTTCCTGATGCAAAAATAAGAGACTAAGAAAAAAGGGGAGCCCTTCCATTTTTCTTAGAGCATTTCCTTTAGAAATCTTGTTGCTGTAACGTTGTGTGTGTGTTCCTCTTTTGAGAAGTCCTTTTGAAAGGCTAACTAGGATTCTTGCTAGTTTTACAAGCCACGAATGTTTCCTCCAGGACTTGGGTGCCATCTCTTTAAAATGCAGCCAGAAAGGAAGCCCACCTTCTCCGTCCCGGCTTCTGGGAGCCTGACTTCGGCGGGCGCCGAGCTATAGAACTACTCCTGTCATAAAACCATGAGCTTAGTCTTCCTGTGGATAAAGGCAGTTAACAAAACCTGCAGCCACCCCAGTAGCCAGGCAAATTCAGGACACACAACATGCAGCCAGCAGTGCTGTTGAGTCCTCTTATTCGAGGTCTAGTTATTGTTTGCCCTGAGAACGTGTGTGGAATGGGTCGCACCCACTGGGCTCTGCAAAGGGTGAGATCTCCTTCCGAGTGCACAATCTGTCCAGCGCTCTGCCTGGGACACATCTCACTCTGCTTTGATGCATACTCAGTAACCCAATTGTTTTCATTCTCTTCTGCCTTTGAGGGGAGGCAGATTTTGTTTTTAATTGAATTTCCCCAACAGCAGATAAGAGACATAAATGAGAACCTATGAGAGAAAGGACCTAGCAACTGTCTGTCACCCTCCTTACAGGGACCTCTGGCTTTAGCCACATACCCCGTACTGTCCATCACCCATGTGTCCATATGTCCAAGACCCATCTGGGATGGCTTTTGTGTTGGTGTCATGCTCAAAGCTGCGCCACCAGTATTTCAAACACCAGGCAGGTCACCCAGGATGGACAGAGCTTCCAGACTAAGGCAGCCCAGGAGGAAAGGCTTGGTGATCTACTTCCAAATATTAGCCAATGAAAACCAAAGGATCGCAACCGAACACCATCCAATGACATCATGAGGAAGGGGCAGCGGTTCCCTCTGCTGCGTATGAGGTCAACGTGAGCTCGAACCAACCCAACAGCACCAACGATAGCCCTTACTGTGCCCCAGCCCGGCCCATCCTGTCCTCAAACACCTCGCCTGCCTTCTCCACCCTGACCTCTTAAAGCCAAACTCCACACTTGCAGAGAAGCCCCAGAGCAGGGGTCAGCAAACCTTGTCTGTAAAGCCTGGACAGGAAAGCGCTTTGTCAGACATACGGGCTCTGTCAAAACTACTCAGCCCTGCCACCACAACGCAGGGCCCACAGGCTGGGTGTCCATGAAGGAGCGTGCCTGTGTCCTGACAGCACCTCAGACCCTGAAATTTAAATTCCGGATGATTTTTCACATATCAAGAGGTATTATTCTTTTCTTTTTCCAACCATTGAAAAATGGAAAGCCATTCTTAGCTTTAAACCCACTGCCATCAAGTCAATTTGGACTCACAGCGTCCCTACAGGACAGGGCAGAACTACCCCATAGGGTTTCCAAGGCCATATATCTTTATGAAATCAGACTGCCTCATCTTTCTCTCACAGAGCAGCTGGTGGGTTCAAACTGCTGACCTTTCGGTTAGCAGTTGAATGCCTTAACCACCGCACCACCAGAGCTCCTCTTCTTAGCTTTAGGGATGCAGGAAAACAAAGGGCGGGGAACCCTACTTTCCCTGTCCCTGCCCTAGAGCACGGAGTGCCTGGATGGTAGAAACGGCTAAGCCTATGAACAACTGAAGTCGGACCCATCCAGCGGCACCTTGGAAAATGTGCCTGGTGACCTTCTGAAAGGCCACAGCCAGCAGCCTGCTCTGCACACACGACGTCACCGTGAATCAGAATCACATCACCAATTTGGGTTTTCTTTTTTTGTTTTTTTTTTTTGCCCTGGAGCCTAGTGGGGTGGGCTTTGGTTCTGGGAATTAGGCGACCCGGTTACATTGAAATCTCGGCTCTTCTATATACCAGCTTCCTCACCTCAGGCTCTGGGCCTCAACTCAGCCCGTAAAATGGGGCTGTTAAGAGGGTCTCACAGACTTAGTGTGAGAATAACCAAGATGCAGGAGTGAACGCCATTGGCAGAGGGGACTCTGGGTTCTCACTCAGAAAGCTCCAGAAAGCTCCCTTTGATCTGACAACAGGCCCAGAGACAAGTATCCCTGCCACAGCTGTGAAGCACACAGCCTCCATTCACAGTGCATCTGACTTCTCTGCCAGAAGGCCTGGGACCATGAGACAAAGTAGGCTTTCCAAGCCAGCTGTCCTGGGAGCTTCAGGATCGAAGGGGCAAAGTCAAAGGTAAACCAGCACTCTGGAAGACCCAAGCACCCAGCGAGGGGAAGACACAACAGTCTACCACACAAAGGTTATGGTGAAGGCTGAATGAAATTATGAGTCCCTATTATGAGTCCCTATTATGAGTTTAGGAGCTCTGGTAGCAAAGTGCCTAAGGCACTTGACTGCTAACCAGAAGGCTGGCGGTTCAAACCCACCAGCCACT